CGTGCACGTCCTTATGGCACGGAAAAGCACTCTCCGAGGAAAAATCTCTTTTCGAGAAAGTGGAGATCAGCCAACAGTAAACTAGTGTAGCTCATTATTCAAGGGAAATATGTTTTTGCTAAGTTCAAGCGGGTAGCGAGAAACTTGGGATAGGCTAAACATGTTTATGGCTGACAGCCTCGAACTATTATAAAGGACCGACTAACAAGCTGGTCTTATGACCCCTAACTCGCTCTCGTGCCATCTCACCAAGGCAAGTGCAGTCTTACTGAATCTGAGCCTGTTATATTTTTTGCGAGTCGACAGCTTCGCTTATTTGGCAGGCAGATTATGCCAACTTTCATTCATACAGTTTCAAATCGTTTGATAATTTAAGAAAATTCTGCCCAACTCTAAACCAGTGTCCCAAGAAGGAAGACGTGGGGATTTGCACGGTAAGAATGGGCCAGGAAATAGGCATTTTTGCTTAAAAACTGGGATAGAGGAAGTTGGGATTTTTTGCTAAAAAATGGGACACCATGCACAAATTCCCTTCTGTCAACCATAACAAAATAAGTGTTGCGTGGACTCTACGCTCTTATTCCCTTCCTTCGCCATAATTCCTGATTTTTTTTTCCGCTGTCGTTAGGAAAACGGTTTGTAAATTCAAAGAAAGCCGTTTTGAGTTCCATATAACCAAGGAATTCAAGATACCGGTAGAACGTTGTCCGAAATAGCGCGAGTCAATCTTTAGTATGTTTACGGGGATATTCAAACCTTCCAGTGCAATCTTTTCAGCTTCCTGGCATGATTGAAGCTGCTTATTAAGTAAACGGTTCTCCTTTTTCAGGCAGTTGTTTTCTTGGCCAGTGTTCCTCACTAACTGCAAGTCAGAAAAAAACGAGCCAGTTTCAGTTCAGCCGAAGTTACGCCTTTCATTAATTATGTGAGAGGAAGACACTCACGATTGAAGACCTTAAGACTAACTGCTCAGAAGCTGCTGTTTGAAATAAAAAAAAAAACATACCGAAAAGGAGCTGGGAGACCGGACTCGAAAGAGTGGCAGAAACCGAGCCTAGGAGTTCCCTGTCGAAAACACCTCCACAACAACAACAAAAAAGACACAATCTTTTCTTTTTCGATATTCAAACTTACCTTTTCAAAGTGCATGTATTCTTGAATCAAATTATCTAAGTCAACCGCTTGTCTGACGGAGTCTCCTGTAGCGGCCATCTTGTTCTTGACGTATTGGCTCGTGATCCCAACTTGAAGAAAGCATGTTGAAGAACATTGCAAAAATGTTTTTTTTTTTTCAAGATCGAATACTCTTTGACCGTAGAAGTTATTCTTATCCCAGATAAGCTTGACTTTTAATACGGCAAGTTAAATGATAGATAAGCTTAACTTATAGAGAATGTTCAGAGCTCAATAATATGTCTTAAATTTGAATGCTTACCTTACCACCGGAAAAGAAGTCTGCAATTCGCCTTGTAACTTCTTCCACTTCAAGAAAATTTATTGCTTAGCATCCCAATAGTGTATTTTCCGAACAAAGACGACCCCTAAGGTTCAGTAGTAACTAGACTGTTATTTTTACAGTAGTTTTTCGAACAAGGCTCTAGAACTCGTGAGACGAATTTTGGCGGGAAACTTCAGGCGCGGGCCGCGGGTTGCTAACCTTTACTATGCTGTCAGGGTAGGGCTAGTAAGGGCGCGCGAGTCTTCAGTTTATGCGATTTCCAAAATTACTGGTAAAATATTTCTTCTTATTAACCGTTTTTCAGATTCCATGCAAATAGAATTGTGATATCATAAATTACATTCCGCAGAAAAGGCAAGCCGACAAGCTGGGTTTCTCATCAAATAAATTTTGGTTTGACAAGAAAGTAGACTTTCCAAACTCGACGATGTAAAACACAAAACAAATTTTGGGAGTGCCGAGAGAACATCAAGTCTCTGAACAAGCTGTAAACGGCAGAAAAATAGAGGTTCCTCTTCGCTGGTTCTTCACACGGGAGGAGTTGGGACTTGTGCCATATCCGACATTTAAGAGGGGTGGGGAGGGGGTTTATTTTCTCACGTCCACAGTATTTTATCCCCTGAAGCATCCAGTCTCTTCCCATCAAAAACACACTGTAGGTAACCATAATTATCTCCATTTTAATTTAACTTAATCTGTACAAATGTCATTTCAAGCGGAGTCACCTTCCGAAACAAATTTCATTATTAGTTTCGGTCTACAGTGAGATTACACGGAGTGCACATAATTTAAAATAGCAAAACGCTAAATATTAACTTTTCTCAGGCAACGAAATAGGCTACTGAACTGAAACAAGCCCTATTATTATGCCGAAAGATGAAAAATTACACACACAAAAAAACAGTTTAACAGTCGCAAATGTTTAGAACAGTACAGCTAGAAACTAAGTCAACCGACATAGTTTAACTTTGGGAGTTTCTATATTATCCCTGTCGAAGGAACAAGTTCTGTTTGGCTTCCCGAGAAAACGCCAAACGCTTTCCATTCTTAAAGTTGACTTAAAGCTTCACCTAAACACATTTGTTCCCACGACAGGAATTTGCGCCACGCCATCCGTGATGTATAGCACTCCTGTCAGTTCAAAAGACGACAACAAATTGCAATGTTAAAACAAGTCTTCGTACAAAACCATTTATATAGAAATGTGTTCCCCCTACAGGTTCATTTTCATGCAAATCAACCTCATTTTCATATAAAAAGTTTTCCATGAGAACTCGTTTTGAAACAGAGGTACAAGGTAACTGGGAAATGGCCTGCTGACAAAACTGTTTCCTGACTGATAACGGACTTGTCGTTCTCGTCTTAAAATTTATCTCAAGTCAACCTTAAATGACGATCACTAGACGCAATTCACCCTCAGCTTAATTTCGAACTGCTGTTGCCTCGTTGAAAATTTCAAATTTGTTTTGTGCCTCATGGGCAATGTCTCCGAATTCCACCCCACCCCGCACCGCTCCACTTCCAATTTTGTACCAAACAGATTACAAAGTCATCTCTTAATTTCGCATTTTAAGGGTATTAATGGCCGATAATCCTTTCTGCATTCCCAGCACTCGGGTCTGTGTAGAGAAAGAAAATGCTTGAATCCAAAGCTGCACGGAAATAAAGGCTCCCACAACGATGAAAAACCCAACATGCGTGGTACTGTGGCGTAAAATTCTGAAACAAGACCGTGGCAGCTGGATTGAATTTTCTATGTACAAGAACTTCTTTAACTGGGCAAGTTATCTTCTGGCCGGCAAGAAAAGAAACGTAACCAAATTTAAGATTTTCCGCACCAACTTGTCCCATCTAAGAATTGAAGGTTGGGGTCAAACCCTCAAAAACAACAGATTGCTTCAATGTCTTCTGTTTGTCTGAAATTTCTTCCAAGTACATTTGCGCCTTCCACATTTACTTGCTCTAAATTAGCTTTCAAGTAGACTTCATCTCTGACGTTTCCGCTAGGAAGCCTCAGCTTAAGGCAGACAGACTTTCCTCTTTCTGCGCTCAACTCTCCTTCCCTCGAGAAACGTTTTGAGACTGGGCCCGAAAAATTCCAAACTGATGACATGCTCTACAAAGATCCGTGTAGCGTCTCTGATTGGTTGTTTCTTAGGTTTGAATATTCGCGCGTAAAAATCCACCAATCAGAGACAGTACACGGATCTCTGTAGAAGTACGTCATCAGTATGGAATTTTTCGGGTCCAGTCTCAGACGTTTCTCGAGCAAGGGATGAATTAAACGCGCGAAAGACCCTTGTCTACTCAAGCTTAACTGTGAAAGACGCCGACTGCAACCCGTGCGATAGTTTCATCGCTGTTTATGCGTCTCTTAACACAAGGTCGCTTCCTTAGCAAGCAAGGGCAACGATGAGACTTGCGCACATTTCCATGAATTCCATAGTGTGGTGGGATCCCACGTGACTTGTGAAGCTATCAGAGTCTTTAAGGCTGCTAAATGACGAATTAGCAGAAGATTTTCGGGACGATTTGCCTGATGTGATTCCCTCAGTGTGTTCTGAATTGTTCTCTGGGGTGGGGAGGCTTTTGAAGTCCAGCAGATAGCTCTTGTGATCGACCTGGTAGAGCTGAAGAGCGATTTTGGTCTGCAATATAAAACAAAGACAGAAGTTAAGAAAACAGAGGTTTTGCCGTCGAAGGACCAAGCTTGCTTTAATGTTGCTGCTAAAGCAACACGACGAATTTTTATGACGTTAAAGGAGCTCAGTAAGGGTATTTTGAGTAATTTTCACCACGTACAAAATTACCTTTAAATAGAGGGAAACGTGAAAATGGTAGTTTACGAAGATAGGAAAACTCCAAAGAGATAATAATAAACCATAAAGGAACAAGTATGGTTAAGGATGGAGAAGATTAACACGGATTACAAACGACGAACTTGAAAAATTTAGGCTACAGTTTTCAAGATGCGCAAACAGAGACGTGGCTCCTTTAAACTGATGTGATGGACTAAGATGAGCTGATTAATCGAGAGAATCGGGAACTCTTTGAGTGTCCAACTTAACCTCGAGCCCTGATATATAGCTTAAAGGTACTTACAAATTTTCCAGTGATCCTGTTTCGATGAAGCACTCTTAGACTAAAAGGATTGATTATTTTCCACTCCTGGGAGAACAAAAAAATAAAAGAAAGATTCGGTTATGTGCACAACTGACGAGAAAACTACTAAGAATTTTCCATTGTACTTACATAACCTAACGACATCATTGCACGATAAACCTCTCCCATGATATCATTTGGCTTGCTCTGTGATCGGATACCTGTGGGCAGACCATAATAATTAGCAAATGAGAACACATCTTGCTTTGCTGTACTCAAATGTTCAAATGTTGTTGTTTATTGTGGTCAATACGCTTAGCTATACCTAGCTAGTTCTTGGGCATGCCACTTAAACTGAAAAAAACAAATATATCAACTAAACTCATAATAGGCTTAGGGAACAGGGATTTGTACTTACAAAGTATGCTAGTACAATTTTGTTTGTTTGAGCTTTTTTTAGATCTAGAGGATGAGTATTAAACTGAAGAGCCAGACAGCTAACCAATTTGGCATCTGCGGCATGAAATAATTATATAGAATAATCCTACCTAAATGCCATTTGGGTCTCTTTCCCAGCGCTAATCTGACATACGGGACTTTCTTTGATGGTGTTGTATGATTGGAACCTAAAAGAAATCATGAAACACAAACCACGAAATTAGAAATGCCATGCTCCTTCAAAAGTCCTTACATCACATACTTATCTATAATTTTTTTGCATTTACAAAGTTATTTTTAAAAATGATTTCAATATGAAAATTCAAGTCCCTGGTTGGATTTAAACTGGTCACCTCCCACATACTGGACAGATGCTCTAACCACTGAGCTACAAAGAAACCCTGGCAAGACTAAACTAGACTAGACTAGAATAAACTAGGCTAGATTAGATTAGACTAAACTACACTAGATCAGATTAGATTAGTTTAGACTACACTAGGCTAGACTAAACTAGACTAGACTAGTTAAAGTAGACTAGATTAGACTAAACTAAACTAGACTTGACTACACTAGGCTTGACTAAGCTACATGTAGACTACACTAGACTAAACTAGAGTAGACTAAACTACACTAGACTAAACTAACCCAGACTATACTATACTAGACTAAATTGGACTACACTTGACTAGACTAGACTGGATTTCACTATACTAGACTAAACTGGACTAGACTAGACTGAACTGGACTTAAAAATGACCTGCATCCCACCAATATGACTGAAACTATAGATCTAATTTATATGTCACAAAAGGAAGCCACACCAACCAGTTCTTATTCTCTCAACTGATGTGTTTGAAGTTCCCTCATTTGCAACAGTAGTAGTCTGTCAAATAAAAAAAATTAATGTTGAAGACCACTGCTAGCTTAAGAGTGAATAGCAAAGGTATTTGAAGTCCCTAGGTACTATCAGAACAAACAGGCATAGCACCCTCAGAAGATGTGGCAGAAAACAATAATATCATTACATTCTCAATATCGGGTCCATTTGCAGCAAATTTGGACAGCAAACAGCTCTGAAACAAATAATCTGTCTTTTGAAAGCATAAAATCACTGGCACCCCCTCCCCTCTTATAAGATAGTTGATTAACAGCCCCTATAACTTTTAAAACTTTTTCCCCATACATTGTTACCATCAGGCTAATATCTAACAACAGCATCAAAAGTTTAGGGATATACCCCAAATTTATTGAGAGTAAGATATTTCTCAACATAATTATTTCCTTTTTTTGCTTTGGACAAATATTGACAACGTCTATCTGTTTGTACGATCTACGACAGACCATAACCAACAAATGGTATGCTATATATATATTTACTACGTGGTCTTTCACCATTGTTACATCGTACCGTTTACACAAATATGCTATTCCCCACAAGATTGATAAGATGTAAGAACATGCCACTTTACAACTCAAATAGCTACAAAAATAGTACATTACACATGTATAATAACAAGCAATAAACTTACAAACAGTGCTTCGTCTTTCACAAGGAAGGAAGAGGTGGGAGGAGACACAGAGGAGTAGAAATTGCCCACAATGTTACCACCACCCTGAGTGGCTGAAAACACAATCACAATCAATTCACAAACAATACTTCAAAAAGTAATATATATGGGACATTGACCTAGCAGGAGGTCAAGATGCCTAACTGTTGCCACGTTCTTTTTTGCCTTTGAGGTCCATGAACATGCAAAGAAAAGAATGCCACATTGACTGAACAAGTGTAGTCAAGTAAGGATTTATTTCAAAGGCTGTGGTCTAAGAAAAATTACAAGGAGCCCAAAGGTTCCTATCCATGAAATCCTGGGTGCCCAGTGCTTAAGCTTGTATGAAAAAGGTAAGTTTTTCCAGCCGCCCAAAGAAAAAGTTAGTGGCTTGTGGCATTCGGGTCCTTCTAGAGCACAGCCCTGCACTTTATAAAATTAGAAAAGCTATTTCCTGTTAAAGAATGTCAAATTTGTGTACAATTAAGACCATTTCCCAGTTGCCTTTGCATCTGTGTCAAAATGAGACTTCATGCAAAACCATGATTAGTCTTCATGCACCATGAGTCTTCATGAAAATGTGTTCCCTCTACAGGTTCTTTTTCATGAAAATCAAACTCATTTTCATATGAAAAGTTTTGCACAAGGACTTGTTTTGAAACAGAGACACAACTTAGGTAACTTGGAAATAACCTATTGTAGGTTTGGACAAAATGAAACTATCTAAACGTATATTTACTAACCCAACATTTTCATTCTCTTGTTATCCAGTATAAGATGATAAGCAATCTTCAGCTGGTCATGAGGATCTCCATTCTTTATTGCCCAGCGCACGTCACTTTCTCCACAGTTAAGTTTCTTGCAGAATAAAATAGATCGAATAGCTTCATTTAACTAGGCTTCATCTAAACATTTTTTACCAGTGTGTGTATGGCCAGGAAAATGGTAACTATCACTTAGCGGGGAGCTCAAAGTTTCTGTTAGTTATAACAAAAAATTTCCTCCAAGTGCATCAACCACCCTGGTTGTGAACAACTATATGTATATCACATCACATTTGAAAATCTGCAGGAATTCAACTTAGTGAAAGGTAAATCCCTCAAATTTCAGTAATGACATCTGAAATTGCATAATTTCAGCTGTAATGTGTACAAAATTTGAAATCAAATGCTGTTTTGTCTCCATAACAACGCAAGATCAATTATCACTCACTCACTCACTCACTGCCCATATACCCACTGGAACACAGGACAGCAACAAATTAAATTAAAGGATCTCCAAAGCTGTCTTTCCCTGGCCAGCTTTTGTATGGAGCTCCAGCAGTGGCCCAAGCCCCTCACCTCTACCTCGACAGAGTGTCGCAAGATCAATTATGGCAACACTAAATTAAACACTAACCTCACAGACAAGTGTCAAGCACTCTTGGTCTACAATGTCACTTTCTAAGGTTGACGATGGGAACAGATAAACAGGAAGGTCCTTTCTGAACCACTCATGATTTCTATGATGGGAGACAAAAATAGTCCATAATAATTAGGAATATCATATCAACATGTAACTTCTTCTTGTACTGATTCAATTGACTAGCATTACTAATTTAACCAGAGTCGAACCTCCACTAACAGCCACCTCTCTACAATGCATGGCTACTTTTTTTTGGTCCCAGCAGATGGTACATATATTTACTCTTATTATAACCTCTCTTCAAAGGCCATCTATCCACTACGGCAGCAGCCAGTAAAGAAATAACCTCGCGGTAAAGAACGGTGTATAAAAACCCCATATTTTCACGTAAATGGTCATGAAACTTAATCCATACTATGTGTCTTTGGTCGCTATTTCTGTTTGGTTTTCGTTGAATTTGTTATGTATTTACATGCTACAATTTAAGCATTTTTTGAAGATAAAAATGTTGCACTCCCCCAAAGTGGCCATTGTGAAGAGGTTTGATTGTATATATTTCCATACATATACAAGCTACTGACAACACATCACTTTAACAATGTACTCACTTTATTTGTTGCATAGTTGCTCTCTTCATTGGGTCAACATGAAGCATAGAGGATAACAGACCACTTGTCTCAGAAGAGAGATGTGATGGTATAAAGAATACACCACCTTTAAAAAAAAGACATAGTCAAGAAGAAAAAAATCACCAATTAAATTGAATAAAAATTACATCATTATAGCTACATTAAAACATGAAAATCACATTTAATGTCATACATATTTTATTTTACCAACCTTTTATTTTCTTAAATAGAGTTGGTATGTGCTCGTCATCAAAGGGAAGCTAGTTAACAACAAATAAACAAACAAACATAAGTATGCTGTTATGAGGAACTTCACTGCAAGAACAAACCTGAAGGAAGAGGTAGTAAAAAAGTAAAATCAGAGCTTGAAATAAAAATTGTGGTAATATACTCACACTTCCACACAAAAGGGCATAAAGAATCACACCACAACTCCAGATGTCGACTTCTGGACCTGCATAAAGTCTGTCACATAAAAATAAATGTCAGTCAGAAAAATTGAACATGGTAATTGTACAATGTATGGCAAAAATTCTCTTCTCATAAACTGTTGAAAAATTCCTTAAGTACAATTTTTAGCTCCATTGCTTTCAAAATATGTGTATATAACCACCCACTTCTACTATATTACACCTCAGAAGTAAGCCAAATTAATTATTATACAAAAAACTAATTTGAGAACTTACTTTCCAGAGATGACCTCAGGGGCTGCATAATTTGGTGATCCACAACTTGTTCGGAGGAACTCTCCATCTGTCATCATATTGGACAGCCCAAAGTCTGCTATTTTTACATTTGCTTGAGAATCCAGCAACAGATTTTCAGGTTTAAGGTCCCTGAGATTGACGAATTAAATGCAAATCAACCTCACTGCTAAGGGCAGTTGTTTACCAGCAGAGCAAATTAGTCAGAAAGAAGAGAACATGCAAGTATACCTAAAATGTGCATTTAAACATGTGTACTCATTCATTTCCTCAAAATTTTCAATTCTGGTCAGAATTTAGCTCTTATTAACCGAGCATGAGGTCTGTATGGAAGAATCACTGCGTTCGGTCTGTACTCATGACCGAGGTCAAGATTCTCCCATACAGACTGACTAAGCTTGGTTAATAAGATGTTTATTATATGGCAAATAATAAGACCAATATAATTTGTTTAATGTAGTTGGTTTGTACTAACTGACATTTTCCTTGCGGACAACGATGAGCTGAATTTAATTTTGCCAAAGTTTGCTTGTCCTCTTTACTTTTTTTCTCATCAGGCTTTTTTGCACTTCCATAAATAAATATTGCTAGAAGAAAATAGCTAATGATTTTGCATTTTAGTCTGTAACTTTTTCACTGCAAAACATCACCGGTCTAGATGCTGGCCTAGATGGGAAAATCTAGACCACTTTCAATATCGATTTCAGCCAATCAAATTCTTGAATTTGGTAGTTCCCAGTCCTTGTGAGACAGAGCCATATAATAAACATCCATACTAATTGCAAACAAATGTTGCTCTTGCATTGTTACATGTAGCTGGTTATTACTTGCTTGCAGACAATAGCTGTAGGCACAACTCAGATCTCACCTTAACATCTGGTCAGTATAAAATTTTATGTTTGAATTGCTGTATTGATTTTACATCAATCCCTTGGTTGTGCCAAAGATATTGAGATAAAAACAGTTTAAGCAGCATCTATCTCACTTTCTAGAACCCAGTATACAAAATAACCAACCAATTAAACAAAAATACAATACAAGGTTACAAAAATAATTTAATCATTACATTTGTACCTGTGTACGACCATGTGTCTATGACAGTAATCCACGCCAGAGATAATTTGCTGAAAAAACCTCCGAGCTTCTTTTTCTTGTAGCTGATGGAGAAAATAAAGTATTACTACATGCCAGAAATTAGCCACAAGAATCACAATAATATTTATACTACACAATGATAAAAAGATTGTTAAGTGATTCTTTCATAATTGCAATTTAAAAATTAAAAGGTTCAATAATTACAAACATAATTCTACAACCAAACTGATGTCATTAGTATTAATGTTTCACCTTTCCATGTTTGAGAATATAGTCAAATAATTCTCCGCCAGACACATATTCCATAACCATAAATATATCTGAAGGAGTACTGATCACTTGGTATCTACGAAAAAATGAATACTACAATTTTAAAACATACAATCATAATTGTGATGGGCTTGTCCATACATGTACATGTACTGTTCAGTTTTAAATTTAGGAAATATCAAAATTTGAAAATAGTGCTAAGATAAAGAACAGGGTTGCCAAAACTAATCTGCTGCCTGAGAAAATCACCATTCAGCTATTCAACTGATTCTTTAGAAAAAGATGGCAAAATTAACTACCTACTCCAATGGTAAAGTCACCTATTTCTAAACTTTGTGACCATGCTGTCAGTGACTTAAAGGAAATGAAACACACAAAATAACATCAAAATCAATGGACGAACAAATTATTTCTCTTATTTAAGTTGCCTAAACCTGGGTGCCCACTTTTTTTGTTTGTTTGTTTTTTTGCCCCAGTTTTTCAATTTAATATTTACTTTTCAAAATGGGAAATGAGGTGATGATCATTTTGCATTTAAGCCTAACACTGGGTCTGAGCCAAACAACTTGATGGTTGTTTAGACAAGGGTCACCTTTGAGCATGCCACAGCATGATATAATCAGATACTTACAGCTTAATAATATGGGGATGCCTGAAGAGTTTCAAGTTTTGGATCTCTCTTCTTATTTTGCCAACCACATCAAGGTTCTTGATCTTCTGTCTGTTGAGGATTTTTACAGCCACCTTATGGCCTGTCAGCTGATGAACTGCCACTGAAAAAAAAAACATAAAAACTGCCAAACTTTCACTATAAAAGCGTCAGTCTCTCAATAGTGCAATCTCTAGTCTAGAGACATAAGCACAGGGTTTCTTGTCCTGGTTGTTGGCTGCATACAAACACTCTTACTAGCCTAATACCTTCAATAGCCATTTCTCTCCAAAAACCAGTGATTCTGCCCAAAAATAGTCGATTAAAGAGGGTAACTGTACTATAATGTGACTGACAGGATTGCAAATAATGCTTATATATATATATATATATATTTTATCTTGGTCAGACAAAACAGAAATGTTATTCAAAACTGCATTATTTTCCATCCTTTCTTTTCATACAATTGATCCATAATATTATTAGCGCCACATAAAGCGGAGAAAGGAGCGCATAAGAAAGTTCTCTTCTTGTTGAAATTTAATTTATCTGGAAAAAAATACTTGGCAGTGATGATTAGCCAGACTTCATGTTCATCCCTGGTTGGGATGTTGCCAGACACGGCACAAATTTTGGTCAGCCCTTTTCTGATGACCAACTGATATTTACAGTTCTCAGCTGTCATTAAAATCATCTCCAGAGATTTGACTGTAGACTAGTTTAAAATATACAAGGGGGTGGACATTGGGGGGGGGGGGGGG